AAGAAATTAAAAATAAAATTATAAAATTAATAAATATTTTATTTTAATGTTTTTGCAAATAACAAGAATACTTTCTAATAACTATATTATATTAATTTGTGATTGTTTATATGTATATCAAAATTCTTTTTTATAATTAAATTTTTTAATTGTATACTGTAGTAAAGCATGCATATTATTTTGTTTAAAATACAAACAATGTCACTCACCGTTTTCGAGTATCGGGCGACTTTTCGCCAGTTGACATAGAGGTGCCCCTTGGTAAGAAGCCTCTTTTCGATGTTTTCTCAGGAGTATGCCAAGAGCCTCTTCTTTTCCCACTGGTCGAACTATTATTGGCTTGTTCGAGACTCCTCTCGAGGTTCGCGATATTCTGCTCGATGTCGATCAACATTTGTTGTTCGTCCTCCATTATTTCCGAGACCGCGTATGAGCTGCAGCTTCCGTCCGGAGGATTGTATCGAATTTCGAAGCACACCACCGCCTACATATATGAATAGTACCGTATTCAATCGATAAAAGTTAAGATAATCACTGCGTTTAATGAAAATAAAAAGTATCGTGCACGAACTTTGTTCTTTGTGCCATGCTCGCTATAGCTATGACAACAAGAGTAATGTTACAACCTAAATTAGAGCAATCTAAAAAGAAAGTGCGTCTAAAAATATTTAGCGATTTCCAATATCACCAGGACCATTTGAAAAACATGATCTAACATGCAAAAAATGAATTTGTTTGTTCTAGTAGTTCAGAAAATAGAGAAACTGTATGTGATAGAACGAATATTTTTAATATTTTTTTTATTTGTGAAAGATGATAATATTTACAAAAATAATAAAATAAGATTTTAGTTACGAATATTTTATTGTAATACTTTTTCATGATTTTGTAAAGATAAAGTTTCAAAACTTATATGCATCAGAAATGTGGAATATCGAAATTTGTTTTGCAATTGAATTGCAAATTTTTGTTCGCTTACTGAAATAAAATACATTATTTTATTCTACCCAACAGCACATTCAAATTTATATTGAAATATCTTTAAAACGATTCAGGAAAATGTAACCTTTATTTAAATTATTTAAGGCCTGCCAAAAGATTGTTCGTAAACTTTGTCCTTCGATTTTGATGCACTTTCTATGATAATAGCTAAAATTAATGTGCTGCTATAATTCAAAGATTCACAAAGAGAAGTTAATATATCTTACTTAAATTGCGGAAAGAATTATAGTAAGAATTTACACTTCTTAGGGGCGATGAAAAGCTAGTATAAAGGATTACAACGTGTACATTTTGCCGAGAAGCGTTTGCAATCATGGGATATATTCAAACGCTTGAGAGGTATTGATTTGTGAGATATAGAAACTTTTGTATTTAATTACATTGCTTGTCTAGCTAAAGTATCACAATGAAAAAGTATGGGAAAAATAGAATGTATAAAATATTATAGAAGGTAATTTCAACTTTATTAACAATGCTTAGTTAGTAACAATTTATTTATTCGGAATTTATGATGACATTTCCGCCTCCACAATTTTCTGTTTTGAATAATTACGTGCAACAATAATACTCGTTAAATGTTACTTATAACTTGAAAAATGATTAATACAAAATTTTGCGTTTTCCAGTAACTATGATGAAAATTAAATTATTTTGCAAAAATTCTCATGTATTAACAAACTTTATTGTCGGTTGAAAGTTATAATCATTATAGTAACATACGTTGTAATAACTTTTCTGAGTCTTTTAATTAATTAATATTAATATAAAGATATGAAGAAAGATCGAGAGCTAAAAGACAGAACTTTTTATTTTAAAATTAAAAGAATTAAATTAATTTTAAAATTGCAGAATGAGTCAAATTTATCAAACATTTTGCGCAATTATTTAGTAGGATTATAATTTTATACGTATTATATTTATTTATCTTTTTAAGAGAAAGAAAGTATGGCCGCAGAAAAAGAAATGCACTTAGAATACATGCTTACCCAGATACACCACTGACACTGACAATGAATGTGTCTGTCTGTTACGTGCTATATGATACAAAGGTCAGTCACGTACATAAGTACTTTTCATGCGGAAATGTTCCCGAGACGAAAAACAATTAATATAGTTGCTTGAAGGCAAGAAGCAAAATTTAAATTGCTATCTCGACTAAATTAGATTTTCTGTTACCTTAACGAGTGAAATATACGTGGAAGCCTTTAAAAGGGGTTTTTTCCCTTAATTTGTCTTTGTTTCTTAGCATTTGAATTGTAAATGATTCGCATTTTAATTTTCCTCTTTTACACAAGAACATAGCCTAGTCCTAAATCACTTAACAATGATGTCAACTTTGTTATTTTAAACAAGAATTTTTATTGTAAGTCCATTTTTGAAGTTGCTTGTCATTTAGCAAATTCTTAAAAAGAATTCGCAATGTAATTGTAAACATATTGTATAATAAATTATAAAACAAATATATGTACATTATATAAAATTATTATCGACAATTAAAAATATTGAAAAGGCGAGAAAAGATACGTTTATAAATTTTATTAAAAATATAGTATTTTACACGTGGTAACGAACATGCAATATTTGAGCCATGCAACAATTATGTATCTCGCGAAGCGTATATCGTGGCGATTATTCAGTTATATTCTCTTCGATATTGAAACGATACCGAAAGCGGTTTGTTATTGAGGTCAACCAGGGAATCCGAGACCAGGATCCTCCCTTCGCGCACCACTGTTTGCAACACCAATCCGTATCTCGCCGCAACTTTTTCATTTCTCAGGACTCCGCGCGATACAACTGCCAGTTGCAGCACTTCTGCCTCGTCCACTGGTCTTCCTAAATTCCACGTAAAACTCTGAAAACGGAGAATGAATTATTAAGAATGCACGTTTTGTCACATTTTACACAATAAAAAAGTCAACATAAATTAAAGGACTCTGTAAAATCAATAGAAAGTGACTTTATTCTATAAAATTAAATTATACATATTCGAAATCAGAAATGAATGAAAACTTTAAATTTTGTTATTTCTTTCTATTTACAATTCTTTTTTTTACCGATCAGATAACTCTTTTTAAAATCGTAAAGTAACGTAATAAGATTAAAGATAAAAAAAAAGTTTAATTATATATCTTGATATTATTTTAAAAAAAGATATTCGTAAAAGAATCTATTATCATAATTTTGAACAACAGAAAGTTTAATATATGACTATATATATAATAAAAAATATTTTCTAATTTTTCAGAAAATTTTATTTTAATATAAATAAAAAAAAAAGAATAGAACAAAGTTTAACTATACGTTTAAATTAATTCTATTCTTAAAAAAAATGTTTTTGTAAAATGAGGATGTTAACTCTTTTTTAATTTCTTCGCAGAATGTAAAAAGATTTTTTAAACAAGAATATTGAAGAAAAATATTATTCTTTTCTTGATATTCTCGTAAATTGATTATACGTTGTTATAAGCGAGATGATTCATATCGCTATCGTGAGTCTGCACGCATTCGACTCACATGCATATAAAGAAGGAATATATGAAAAAAGCATGGCATGCGCGCGAGATTGAATACACATATAAATGTAAGATCGATAAATTGCACAGATGGTTTTGAGAAAACCACGCGACATTTAAGAAAGAGCCGATATCGAGAAAGCTTCTAAGCGAAAACCTACAACGCGATAAAAAATAATTTATTATTTACGCTTGAGAAACTCTTTTCTCTTCGTGAGTTTTAATAAAGTTACGTTCATTATTGTACAGTTGTTCCAATTTCATTTTTGTCATCTTTTCTGCGAAGAAAGAGATTAATTAAACAGAATCAATAGGGTTTAAAAATAGTCGGTGAAGATCAAGTTATAAATTCCTTAGAAAATCAGAGAAATATCTCAATGTAATCTTGTGGAATGGAATATTAAAAAAATTATTTTATCGCTGTTAAATTTCTGGTTCAAGAATAGCTTTCATTTTTTAGAATGCAGACATCAGAATTTAATAAAAAAAAATCTTTTCTTTTTGCTCCATGTTTGCCAATATTGTTATACGCCACGCGTTAACAATAGAAACGGAAAAACGCCAAAAATACCGAACTATTTCATGGATTCAAAGAATAGGAATTTAATTTCACAGAATTCTTCTCACACCTATCTTTCACAGAAAGTCATTCGTATTTTCCATTTGATGTTATATCTAGAAGATTGATAAATTTGAGAAAGAAATTTTTTTCTTAAAAAAATCCATTTTACGAAATAAATTTTTAATTATTCAAATCTGAATTCGCATTCTTTACAATTTTTTCTATCGTTTCTTTCACGGACTTACTTTAATTTTCATAAAAATGGAAAGAAAAAGAAAAATTTTTTTTTTTACATAAAATGGAAAAATATTAATAATACTCTTTTCCTATTTTGCTGCAACATTAACTACTATTAATAATTTACGTTTTATTCATTAAAAGAGAACATGAAAGTTTAAAAACTAATTCCAGAAATCAATATTGAGTATTTCATGTCGAAGGCACGAATTTCTTGCACAATTCATTTCAATTTGCATATGTTTTATCAAAACCTCACCAGTCGAGTCTTATGAAATAAATTCAGGTGCTTAATGATAGCAAATATTGAAAGCATTATAAAATCGCGACCCTCAAATTTATGAGTATAATCCTTCTATTATTTATGCAAATTTTATGCGTTCATTAGTTACATCGGATTTTCGTTGTTCAAGTTGTCGAGATATTGCAAAGCGTTTATTTCCTTCCTGGATCGTGTTTACGAGGAACGATACATCTACGGTTAGACAACTCGCTGTCAGATAAGCTTCTCCAACGCGAGAGTGTCGTAATGGATTGGTTCACGTCGACGTCATTGAATTGAGTCTTCGATTAAGTAACTTCCTCATCTGCTTACAATCGTCAAACGCGATGAACTAGGTCAATATTTTATATTTTCGGTGTAAAATTTATAATATCCCACGTATATAATGTGCTCGCTCGAAAATATCGAAGCTTGCCCTTTTCGAGACAACTCCACAATTTGCATACATCACGAGGGCGTACATCGAAATTTCCATTTCACAAGAAGACAGAAAGACAAAGCGCTACTTTGCCATTGTGCATTCGCAGGCTATTGACGAGCTATTGCAAACAATGAAACAACGGTATACATATTTTGTCGTAAACCGATTAAATTTGTCATAAAAAGCATTGCCATGTAAACGTTTGCCATGTAAACCGTTGTAGTTGTCACGGAAAACAACGGTATTGAATTGTATGGACTCTGTCATGAATTGTTGCGTAGTTATATTTTCCAGTTAAATACGTTCGTACGATATGACGAGACAATCATTCTTTTGGCGAAAAATGTCTGTAATATGACGATATACAGTGATCGATGCATGAAAAATTTTCACATCCTAAACATTCGCTGCATTTTTCATGGTTGTCATACGACGAATGTGTGGAATCGATTCTGCTATCACGTACCTTCGCTTCGGTCGTGACATAAAAGTTGAATGGTTCGCTACAATGTAATAACAATCGACTACGTGCATACAATATTGAAGCTGCACCTTGTATCTCGAGAAAAAGGATAATCAACACGCTACATGCGTTCATCGCGAATTCATTAATCTAGCGTCTTTTACCAGACTATGAAAATCTTACAGGTTGCTATTGTACAATTTATATTTTAAAGCTAATTTGCGATTCAAATTGGGAAACTTCTGAGTAAAGTTGTGATGAGATTCTCATTGGGATTCTCTTTAATTTACGGTAACGCAATTTTCTAAGATTAACAGAAGCAATTACAACCGCTGGAAACTAACCTTATTATTTACCTTCAGCAAATCTTTACAAACTCGAAGGTATGCTTGGTCACGTCGTCGTCTTGACACTCGATTTGTCATCACCCTTGTTATTTATTTATTCAAGAATAATGATATTTGGTGTGTAGTAGATTATGTTTTATTACATAATCCTAAGGGAATTATTAATAAACACAACACAGTATTTATTGGATGGATAACAATAGTTACTTATTAAATAAATATTTATTAAGTCGAAAATTAAGTTAAATCGAATCTTCTTAACAACATGTGTGTCACGATTATTAAAAACGATGAGATCGCTAATTTTCTAAAACTTTATCCGGAATTTTTAGTAAATTGGGGTGAAATGAGCCAAAAATCATCCCAATTTATTATTACACCCGGAGTTATTAAAACCTGGTGTATTTTTTGTGTATGAACGCGAGTGTGGTGTAGCAAATAGCACACTGGTCTGATATATAATACTAGAGATCCCAGATTCAATTCCAGGCAGAACCGAAAAATTTTCATACACTCGTAACTTCTCTCAGAAGGCAATGGCAAATCACCGAGTAGTATATACATACTTATCCAGGAAACCTTCGTACCCAAAAAATTCCGTTCAGAATCGGCATTTAAATTGTTAAAAGTCCATATACGTCATGTCCATATACGATCAATGTGCGCGCAAAGGTATATGAGAGGGAGGTGCTTACGTGTTGAGATAGCGTATGCTACTGAAGAAGTTTTTTTGTGTGTTACGCAAATTCTGCCAACAGCATTGTGTTTAGAACAAAAAATTGGAAACATTGGAGAGAAAAACAATGATTTTTTGTTCTACCATGTTTATTATTAAAGCAATATGCTTATTCTTTAAAAATACTTCACATTTTTAGATTTTTATTTAAATTTAGAATTTTAAGAATTTATACCAAACAAAAGTGTTCTTTTTTATAATATTTTATTTTACTATAATTAATATTTATATATATTTCTATTTCTCTCTCTTTATCAAAATAGTACATATTTTATAAAGATCCATTTATTACTTTATTTAATACAAAGGGAGATAATATAAAGGAAATTTCAGAACGAATCATGATGTACCATCGCTAACCTAAGTAGTCCAGAATTTAGATTAATATAAGTATATAGGGATATGATTGTCACTTTGTTTCACATGCTCCATACTCAGATGGCAATGATTAAATTTCGATACCTCAGGAATACGTGCTTAATAATTTTCGGAATTTTTTAACAGAAAAGAAATTTTTTAACCTTTTACAAATATTTTACTATTATTTGTGTAATGAAAGATATATATAAACACGTATTGGGCAAGTAAGTTCCTCTACGCATCTTTATTTTGTTCTCATTTTATTACGCTATAAGTAATCATCTATCATTTGTGTTTTGGATTATATCTGTCACCATTTTCTACAAGAGTGATCGAGAAGTGTCACGGATCCATTACTACTTACGATAAAACGGAGCAAAATAAAATGATATATGCGCTAATAAAATATAGTTTATATACCTAACTAATGAATTATATATAAGAAATAAAACCAACAAATCATATAAACAATAAGAATCATATTATTATAAAAAAATCTTACATTTAAAAGTATTTTTGAAAATTAAATTTTTATGGTTTATGACGCTCCAGACTTTCTTATATAAAACGAGAATATATATTTCTTATATAAAAAAGAGAATAAGGTAGCTTCCCATCAGAATTAGAAGTTTGTAGATCCAATAGTTCGCAAAAAACAAACATAATATCATATTAAACGCGTTCTTATTTGCGCCTACGTTCTGTTGAAGCGCAAACTTACTGTTACATACGAAAACATAGTCTCGAGATTTTGCTAAACTTATTGTAGATCTAGTGTTCGTGTTGTATAAAAGTACAAGCATTTTATAAAAGAAAGGAGAAACTTTACCTGCTCAATCTCAATAACATCTCCACTTTCCTCGAGCACCGATGAATAATGCGATACTTCTGCAACAGATAAGAAAAAATATGTGCTAAATAATTTATATATGTTAATATTCCGCGAGTTTTACTATGTGCATAAAACTTTTATAACATACACTAAAATGTTATGCAGCATTTATACTAAAAGTTTTGGATGTACTCTTGAAATAACAATACAAAATGTAATATAAAATTAATTAGCTAAAGAAAAAAACATAAGAAAGTAGAAATAAAATTAAAGTACAAGTACATTTATTAAGTAAAATAAATTTATTAAGTAAATTAATATAGATATTTTATAAATATATTTAAGCTTAGTTTTAATATATAATTTTTTAATAAAAACAATTTCCATAAGTTTTCAAATAGTTATTTTGCATATAAAGTAATATAAATTTATAATATTTCTGTATAACAAAAGATTGGCAGATCTGATACACAAATAATTTTACACATTCGTTTCTAAGCTTAAGGGAATATTTATTAATCGTTCGTGGTTACATCAGTTTCCATTTTAAATTCGAAAACTGTTTACAAGTTCGCCGGTTAACAACGGCACTTTGGGGCAAATTAAAATTACATTTTGCGGCTTTACGTCAGAAGCGCTGCTGCAAATTTATAAAGCGGAAAAGAGAACGTTTCAGGCTTTAAGACTTCAGAACATAGAACAGAGATATCTCTGGAATAGCTATACAAAGTGCCTTTATTCCTGAACAACAGTAAATACCTTACTGTCATTTTCTGTAGAATTCTCAGAATGCTAGATATCTATACAATACAATTAAATCGCATTGCGATACATCCAAAGACTGTTAAGGATAATATCATAAAAACAATTTGCTGTTTATGAAGCCTATATAGTATTCCAAAAAGATATTACTAGCGATAAGTGCCCATATTTTTTTTTTATAAAACATGTAATTCTATATTAAAAAAAAAAGAAATATTGCACAATCTTTTTATGCTTGTTAGTCATTTATTTATTTCTAAACAAAATTCTGTGCGACTTTTCTAGATGCTTTTATTAGATATGTAAAAAGTGGGCCAGCTTTGAGTGACGCGCCCTAGTTACTTGTATATTTGCAATTTAACCGCGAATTAGTAGATATTACTTGAATTAAAACAATAATAAAAATTTAATTTGTATTGACGGAATAATATTATGAACTAGATACATCGTCGCGTTTTGTTTTACATTTCTATAATACAAACGGTTCTATATGTATATCATATTAGAAGAACATATATCTGATTATTTCATTTATATATTTATCTCATGTGAAAAGCCCGCAATTATCTTCAATCTGTTTATCGGAGACGAAATCGGTTGCGAGCGATGTGTTTTATTTGCAGTAAAGTTTAACTAACAAAATAACGAAATTGTTATCCGGTTTACCAATGAAAAACACAGAGATACAAAGTTTTGAGTAATAAATAAGATGTTTTATATGATCAACCACGCGCGGCTCATATGCAATCGAAAAAAGACACGAACGTTCATTCGTTAACGCTCAATGAAATCAGAATACACAAATACACGTGGCAATCTCTCTATTTTTACATTTTTTTCCACGACACCTCAATTTTTTTTATTGAAAATAGAACAAGACGGTCGTTAGTTTTTTCAATAAATGCATTAAAAATGTATAGTGCCATTTAAAATGCATACAGTTACATTTTTATAAACATTTAAAGAATTTAAAAAGAATTGAAGGTAAAAATAAAATTATTATAAAAATTTATGTAGAAACTGAAAGAGAGAGAGAGAGAGAGAGAGAGAGAGAGAGAGAATAATAAAACTAAAAAGTATTTTTTCTTAATTTTATTATATGTTTTAGAATGACTAATTCATTGCTACATAAAAATAAAATTAATTAATTAATGCAATATATTATTTAAATGATGATTTACACATATATAGTAATGATATATTAGTAGTAAGATTATTAAGTAAATGTCATGAAAAAAATATGCAATTTAATAAAATTAACAATATGAAACAAAGAATCATACGAGTCAGTGCTAGATCTTAATTGCGCAAATTTTAACAATTTAATAAAAAGTGTTTTACATTTTTAACATTTAAAACTGACTCCTATGGCCCTACGTTTTATATTGTTATTATTATTAACTGTTAATTAAAGGAGTCTTTAATAATTAAATACTTTTATTGTTTAATTATTATTAATGGTTATTGTTAATAAAATTAATAATTATCGTAAAAATATAAAAACATAGTTATTAATAAGTAATCATGAAAATTCTAAATTACAAATCATTGTGTTGCCTTATTTACTTAAAATTTGCAAACTAGCAAACTATATCTAATTTTCTTAATCTTAGTTGTAGGCATAACATACCTATAAAATGTAGACATTCATGATAATTAGAACGCAATGTTTGTATCGTTACATAAATATTATTGCACTAATGCACACACGAATTTATCACCGTCAGTCATTAGTACTACCTATACGTAATTTTATGCAAAAGGAATTGTAAATACTTTGTCATATCAACAATCTGAATAATTATGTCAGACGCCACTTTTACGTGCGAATAGTAGATAAATATTATACAGAAATAGCTGTACAGCATTCCCAGGAAAGGAGGCGATCTGGCTGTGAATGCATAAATATTACGTTCTATTTGCATAATGAATGCAGCTATCGATTTGCTCTCGAGGATATTTGCAAATTGTTTAGTAGTGGGCACTTTAACCGCCCGAACGATCGATGTCTATTCTGACAATAACTTCATAAAGGCGCGCGATTGCTATGTAAATTTATAAAAGATCTCAACACAATACGCTGCTCATACATCGGCATTGTCACTGTGAATTGTTCTTTAATATAATCGATGTCAGTTACGACGCATAACGTATGTAGAAAGTATACACCATTATTTGCTAATATTGTTTTAACAATACGATAGAAATGCAAATTATCTTTCTTTATGATAATTAAGCAATTATTATTAATTAATTTTAACCTATAATTGCAAAAACGCAAAATTTCATCGTATTTATCATCATGAAATAATCGACGATGAATTGATTAGTAGTTAGTTATAATATTTATATTTTCTCTACATTACATATAAAATATTGAAGAGTTTAGAAGAGTTAAAAAAAAACTGTTTACAATTTATAAAGACGTAAAAAATACGATAGACTTGGACGGTCAATATTTGAGATAAATTATTATTTCTGCAGTTAGCTTATTAATTTTGCGTCAAAGCGAAATCATTCATTTGTCAAATCTATTTACACTTATTTGATCAAATTTAATATGTCTCTCTGTCCCTCTCTCCCTCTCTCTTTCTCTCTTTCTCTCTGCTGCAATATACATAATATGTAATTCAACATAATATACTGCATTTATGAATTCTATTAACATGTCGATTTCATGATATTAATTGGTTTTGTCAAAGTGTAATGTGTATTTATATGACATGTTTTCGATTTTGAGCATATCAATCATAATAATATGTATTAGAATATATAAATACTTTTAATAATATCTAAATACTTTTATTTTTTGTATAAAATACATTTCTCATTTAGCTATTACTAATTCAAAATGTTATTACTTTATAATAAAAATATTAAAAGATACATTGAATAATTTTTTTTCACATTTTTATTTTCATACGATGAGAAGTTTTTACTATACAATAAATGATCACAAAGAAAACGAAAGTAACTTGAGCCGTATCTATTAAATTTAATTATAATAGAAACAAATGTTATTTCCTCCAAGTCAGTAATTTAAAAAATGTTTTTTTTTATTCAAGCATTTTTTTGTAACATATTTACGTTACTTAAAAGTCGAGAACATACTCTGATATACATATTATTTTTAATTCTCAGATGTTTATTCATAATTAAATAATGAAAGAAACATTCCCGCTATTTCATTATTTAAGTATTTCTTTGACTAAGTTCTAAAAATATAGAATTAATTATTACAATGGGGCGGAAATGTTTATTTGCAGATAGTTTTGCAGAGAAATCCCAAACTCTGGATTTCGGAGATCTTCTGCAACCTCGCACATTTCTTGTTAAATTCTCCACTCTGCCCGCATTTAATAGCGGATTAATTGTAATTTACGTTTGCGATCAATGTCATAATTCCAACAGTAGATGCTTTCAATGAATAATAACGCTAACAGATGTTGATAATCCGCAGAGACTGGCGGGTAATATGACCGTGTTACAAGGAACATCATATTACGAATTAGTAGATTATGCGAAACAATTTTGTATCTCACGTAATCTCTCTAATTTCTCATTTCACATAATTGCACGTATGGATAATGGATGCTGGATATCGCTACACGTTTTTTACTACCGACGCTCACTGTAGCTAAAGATCGTCTGCCGGACTTCGATACAGCACGTCCGCACAAACTGGGGCATTTATGATTAAATGAAACGTTACGCTCCCTCTATAGAACTTAGGCTCTAGGGCATGCGTTTCTCGTTTGCTGCGTCTGAATTTTCCCTAGCTGCATATGCAACCTCACAGCAATAAGATCACGAAGTAACAGCAAATTATAATAAAAGATTGGAGAAAGCTATTTTAAAAATATCTGAGAAATATAGAAAATCTGAGAAAGCGCCTGAAACAGGCTCCATGTTATTTGCGTCTGACATAAACGTCCGACAAACATTTCTGGAAACATGTTAATTATCCTCGTATTAATTGAATTTTCGTTCAGTTTTGTTAATCATAATACATCAGAATCATTATCGTGCGAGAAAAGTGTTGTTGTGTTACTGACATTCCTGTTCATAATGATAAGAGTATTATGATATTAAAAGTAAATTTTTTACTTAAACAATCAAATGTAATAATTATTTATGTTCCATTCTATCCAATTCTACTCCTTCTGATACAAAATGTTTATTTCCAGCTGTAAGCATTTAATATCAATATTCATATAAATAAAACGTACAATTTATATTTTTTAAATCCTGAGAGAATTAGCGACGTGTAATGCATACCGTGATTTTAGAAACGTTAAATTATTTTACATCTAGATTTTTTGCAATGTGAAAACAAAAAAGCGTATTTTTAAAAAATCGCAGAGAGGAACGAGCATCTTTTGTAACGTCGTTGTCGACGTTTCATCGGAAAATTTTAATTAATTCACATTCATCGATTATTGGAAAGTTATCGACGCATATTGCATACGACTACGACCAGTTAACTCGAAAATTAGGGAGATTAACCTGGAGCGTCGGAGATTCGATGATTATCTCGTAACAAGGATACAAATCTGCGATACAATCAATCGCTCGAAATATTATTATGTAAACGTCGATAAAGGATATGTGCAGATATACGCATCCAAGCACGTGACAAACATGTGCATATTACACTATGGAATTTGCATAGTAATAAGTTGACAATATCGAGAATATTTAGATAATAGAGATTCAATGGTAATTATGTATTGAATATCATATGTGCATCAAGAATAGTTATTATATGTCATTAAAAGAGAACAGTTCTGTACATTAATTCTAATAATTTCTTCTCTTTTCTTTTTCAAAAAAGAAAAATGCTGCGATATTGATAAGTATAATAAATGAAAGAATAAAATAAAATAATTAAAAGTATTAAAGAGATAAAAGAATTAAATAAATATAAATATATATTTAGATTAAAAACTAAGAAAAACTGGTAAATAATTATTAATTTGTAAACGTTTAAAAAGTATTAAACTATTCGATGATTTTTCAAAAAAGGAACATTTTACTGAAGTTAATTGCAGATAGCAAATTCCTTTTTTTCGCTTTAGATAGCGATTTATTTGGAAAGATTACTTTGTATACGAGAAAAATTGTGTTAATCAAATTGCTTTTATTAAAAAAAATCATATTTCCTGCGAATGTTAGCGATTTAATAAATTTTGAGTCATATGCTAGCATACCTCGAAAGTCGACCTTTGCAACCTTCTCGCCTTTGCACTTAAGACCCTGAATGTTCTTCAGAATAACGACGAGCGACATTTTTGCTTCTCTGGTGAGCAGTAATTATAGGAATCCCTAAATAAGGCCAGGTCCTTCTCTCGTTTAGTCTTTAATGGATGTACGAGCTCTCATTGTGTCATCCACAATATCGGTTATTTCATTCATCGATATCATTTTGGGTCACAAAATGCATTTGTGGCTCTTTACTCCAGTTACATGTCAAGTCTAGAGACAGTCAATGAGACACGGAAAATCTATGGAACTACCAGGAATCCCTTTTCGTTGCTGCGTACGTTATCGAACCAGGTGTGTCGCCCAGCCAGGCGGGGTCAAGGTTACAAGGAGCAGTCCTGAATTACGAGTCTTGAGATATGTCGAGTTTCAGTCACCTCCTGACGGAAAAGTGCAACTCCGGTCAAACATGCCTCCTGGAGGCTATCTCGACGACTGCTCTCCGTCCTGCGAGAATTCGCGCCTTAAACAACCCCCGTGAGTTTGCACCGGGGGAATAATGGGCGCACGCGCCCTCGACGATGTGTGGTGGCCGTCGGAGCCGGCTTTCATCGTCATCACCACCCGTTGGAACCGGCGTTCACCATTACGCCGAGCGTCGTTAATGAGTGACGTACGCTTCTCGTACTATTCTTGTCAAACTGAATCGCCGGTGAGTTAATCGACAGGTGCATTTGCAACGTGGCGCGAAAGCAAAAACGATGCGACGAGCTCGTAGAATCGAGACGCGACTGTCTATACAATAAATAAAAAATACGTATAAATGGAATTTTAGAAGAAGAAGTATCTAAACAACACATCGAAAATTCGAAACGTTTAAAATTTGAGATACTTTTTAAAGACAATTTTTAGAGCTTTTCTGATGTTTACTGACTATTTTTGCTGTACAATAAAATAGAATAGAAATTTGAAATATTAAAATACGAATCTGACATTTTGTAAGAGAGTACAAATTAAAAATATCTGATAGGACTTATTTAATTCTTATCGCTTCTATATAATATATTACATAACAAATTTAAATAAATATTAATAATAAAATTATATAAATAATTATATACATTGTTTTATGAATCATTTCGTAAAGAATATAAAAAAATATAAAGAAAACATTAAGAAGAAAAACATTTTATTAAATATAAAAAACATTAAAATTTTTACAGTTAATTTATATAATGTTTTTTCTATTTTTCAATTATATTCTATATAATCCTTGGCTGATAATTTCTTTTCTATATATACGTATATATATATATATAAATTTTTTTTATTATATATATTTTTTAAAATTAAATCAGAATATATGATATTTATGGTATTTAACATAAAAAAATTTACCTAAAATTTAATTATTGTTACATTTGCATAAACCCATAAATGTAATTTTTATGATAATTATGAAAAATATTGTATATTTTCTATATATGATAGAAATATATATAACTCTATATATAACAGATTCTATATATAACAGAAATTACAAATGTGAAAGATCTAACGGATTACTATAATCGGGTTCATCATTAAAGGATCTTTAAAGATTTATAAGCCTTTTACGTATCAAAGAAAGTAGGTCGCGACAGCATAACTATTAAAAGATTGTTGCAACATATTGAAAAAGTTTTAGTATACAATATACTTACTAAAGATCAGTAAGAGAAAGTTAACGAAATTATTTCTGTCTTTCCATGAAATTCCAATTATATTATAATTTACATAATTAAAAAATTTGTTGTATCTTTTTCCAGTAAAATCATATCGCGGCAATTCATTTTGAAAATTTTTCTTCTTATAAATTTAAATTTAAATAATAAACATTTTTTGTTATTTTTATAAAACTTTATCTTTACGTTTTTTTAATTTTTGTGCAGCCACTTTATTCAATATTTTGATTAAATCGATAAACAAAAATCTAAAAGAAAATAGATGTTTATTAAAATTAAAATTGATGATGGTCTTGTAACAATATTATCTGCAATAAATTTAACATTTTGCAATCATCGTAATTGCGAAATGCTAAATTTATTCAACACATCAAACTATTTCTCTCAAAATCAAATCAAATTTTAAATAAAAATCAGATAAAAATTTTTGATCATGCAGCGCGGCGTACAACATGTATCGGTGTACAACATTGCTGGATGTAATTATAATAATCTATTAGCGTTTTTATTCGGCTCCTGTTGCGCTTTTTACATTTATTTTTACGATCATAAATTACATCCTTAACTTTTCTCAAAAATATGTATTGTTCTCAGTTTCTTTCACACTTTTAATTCTCTCAAGTCATTAATTCTTTGAACTCTTAGATAGTAAAATTTTCATACGCTTAAAACTTCTCTGAGAGTTTGAAATATTCTTTAACAATCTTAGTTTTTAAAAAATTAAATAGATTTTCAATTTCTTAAAATTTTATTTTGATTTGATGTTCAATCTTTTTAACACTTATTTTTAAATAATATAATTGTTTCAAGAATAAAAAGACGTTTTCGTTTTTCAAAAATATTTTAGAAATCTTTTAATTCTTTTTGAAGTTCTTATATAAAAATTCTCAGAGTCTGGGACTAACTGTTTCGACTTTTGTACTCTTTTATGTTAAATAAATGTTATCTCTAATAATACCTATGTATTTGCAATCGATATCTCAATTATGAGATAGTAACTCTCCTTGAAATAACTCTGTTACATTTATAACAGGTGCCTAATTACGCTTTTCTGTTTATATCTATTGCATGTATTGCAAACATTCTCACAATTTATTTAAGAGACTTCGCACGTGTAGAAATGTATGTAATTACGTCGACATTTCTGATAAAATCTGTTAATACGAATCGCCTTCTCGAGATCACAAGGGAAAAAACCATTGTTGACATTTCCTTTAGTTGCGTGAGGAAGCTTAACAAATGGAAAGTAAAATTATCAGGTAATAACTCTTTCATGACTCACGACCATGGTCACACGCATAATAAATTTTTCGCTAGGATCACGGCAAAGCAAAATCAAGACAGAAAAGGAAAAAATTTCGTGCTGTATGTCAACCGATGGCTAGTGAGCTGTTTTCCGAAAGGAATGCAGAGGGATGGATCAATAACGGAGTGAGGGTTGGCTGGGATTTCTCAGCGCCATCCTTTCATATTACATGGAACTAGCAACTGTTGCTTTATCCTTCCTTTCTTACGCTGCAATTGAGCTCTAAATCCTGTTTAAATTATGTTTCTATGCAATGCGGTTTGATTACTTTTTGCCATGAATAATCTGTATCCAATGATGCAAATGACGTTGTGGCATATTCTCTCGTAAATTATAGAGCCGTGTAGAATGAATGTAAAATATTTGAACGCTAAAACTCTAATAATAGTAAATTTGAATAAAATAACTTAAAAAAAAAACTTTTAAATATTTTACACTTAAAATAATTAAATAATAATTACTTTCTAAATCTGAATTAATGGATAGTCACTAATTATAATGGTATTATATAATAGCACTGATAATCAGTGAAGTTCAACTAAAAAAGGAAGAATGTTTGAGTATTATATAATTAAAATACTGATATTTGCACGTTAATTCAATCTTTCAATACCGTATTCATTGAATTTAAGCACTAAAACAAGGTAAGATCACATAAAGATTAGCTAGATTAAGGATCTCATATTTAATTCACTGATTCAGATTACCACTGGCATACTTGGCACTAATATCAGTGATTATCCACTGATTCAGATTTAGAGAGTAATAATTCTAATATTAATAACATTTTTAATTATAGCAATAAAATTAATAATGGTAAATTTGCCAAGAAAAAAATATCTTCTTGTTAAAAAAACAGATATTCTAAATAAATCTGTTGAATTTTTTAGACAGAAAATTAAACTAATAAAATTTTTTAACAAAATAAATTTTTATTTAACATTGCGTAACAAAATTGCGTTCTTCTCTTTTTTATTTTTTATATAAAAGAGTTTTCTTTATCAATATAAATTAATTGAATAGAAATATATCTACTATTTTCTGTAATTTCTGTAATTTTTCTTAAAATACAAATTTATTGGAAAATTTAGTGTAAGCTCATAAATTTCTGTTAATCGTTGACTATAAATTTTACTTTACATATGCCAGCGACAGTGGAGACCATTCATTATCGCGTCATCATCAATGTAAGTAGATTTGTATAATTAACCTCGTTACATAATTACGTT